CCCCAAAACCCCAAAACCCCAAAACCCCTTTCTACTAAAATTTTAGAATCAGGCCATAAGGAAATGAATTTTATGCTTAATTAAAAATTTATTTTAAGGAGTAAACTAATGTAGAATATAATAATCAATTTACAAAACGTTTAGAGATTCAGAAATATATTGGCAAGTAAATGATAGACATATTTGAAGACATAGAAACTGCTATAACTGTGCAGACATTAAATGTACCAACAATGGAGGGCTTGGGAATTGAGCCAATGACACCCTCATCTCCAGAAATGATTCTTAAACGAAGTAAAATTGATGCATTTTATATTTAATGTAATTAGGAAGGTAAATGGAAAGTAGTAAAAGTCCAATGCTTAAAAAAAGAGGTCATCATGATAGTGAAAGTTGCTCTAAGATTTCAGAGAAGTCTGAATCAGCTAGTTAGATATTTTAGGGGAAAAACCCTATCAAAATAAGTTGGTCTGACTTGAAATATACAGTTCAGCCCAGGGGAAAAAATCCTTAAGGATAGCCCAAGCAAATACTTAAAGGAGTGACGGGATTTGCTATACCAGGCGAAACGTGCTTTATTATGGGCGCATCTGGTGCAGGAAAGACTACTCTTCTTAATATTTTGAGTTAAAGAACGAAATGCCTCAATTCAGGAAAGATAGAAGGTGCTGTAACAGTGAATGATTCAATTGATCTAACAATGGACTTATTTGGTAAGTTTGGGGCATATGTGATGCAGGATGATATCTTGTACGCTTTTTTCACGCCTAGAGAGTCTCTAACCTTTTCAGCCAGAATGAGACTTAATAAACCAATCAAAGAATAAGATGCTAGAGTTGAAGAATTGTTGAAGGACTTAGGACTTGTTTAAGTTGCTAACACTCCTGTGGGATCAGCAGTTAGAAAAACAATTTCTGGAGGGGAAAGAAAAAGAGTTTCGATTGGAGTGGAACTCATCACAGATCCCTCAATCATTATGTTAGATGAACCCACTTCAGGCCTAGATAGCTTCAAGTCCCTATAGATGATAAAACTTCTAAGAAAGATAGCAAGATCTGGAAAGACAGTCATCTCTAGCATTCATAGTCCTAATAGTGAGGGTTTTATGCTATTTGATAAATTGATATTGCTTGCTGATGGTTATATCATTTATTAAGGAGAAGCAAAATTATCTCATGAATATTTTTGCTCAATAGGATTTGAATGTCCTCCCTACTCTAATCCAGCTGATTATTTCATGAAGGCCTTCTCTGTTTAATATCCTCTAAAAGATAATGACCTATTAAAGATTGAGCATTTGAAATCTTCCTATAATGAGAGAATGGCCGAGGCAATTATAAAAGAAAATCATGATTGCCAATTAATGCATCCAGACTTAAATATGGAAGAAGTTAGAATTTCCTTTTTTGGATAACTTAAGCTTCTAATTAACAGAGACATGAAGAAAATTACTAGAGATTCTAAATTTTTCAAAGCTAGATATATTCAAAATTTCTACGTGGCTTGTTTAATGACACTAATATATCACAACAGGCCAGATATGACAATCAAGAATAATTAGACTTCTCTTTTAGGAGCCTTATACTTTATCTGCTAAAACTATACTATTTAAAACTGCACTGCTGCCTTGCTAATTTTCTCAGTTGAAAGAAGAATTTTCCTAAGAGAGTATGCTGAAAATCTCTATGGAGCTTTTCCTTATTATGCCTCTAAAATTATTATTGAAGCTCCCTTATAGATGATTATGGCTCTAACCACAACATCAATTGTATATTTTGGTATTGGATTAAGAGCTGAGCCTGAATGCTTCTTTGCTTTTTTCTTCACTCTAATGAACCTCATATTCTATGCTGCATCGCTGGGTTACTTATTTGGCACAATTTTCACAGCTCCTGGATCATCTAATCTTGTGAGTTCACAAATTCTAATGCCTTTGAATATTCTAGGAGGATTTTATTCTAATGTTAAACTAATACCAGTTTGGTTTTCATGGCTTTAATACATATCCCCAGTACGGTATGCTCTTGAAAGTCTAGTGTAGAATGAATTTGGAGATTTCAGCAAAGATGATTCCAAAGTTCCAAATCCGTTGGTTTATCTAGGCTATGATATTGGTTATGGATAGTGTATTGCCTGCTTAATTGGACTTTCAATTACTTTTAGAATAATCTCATTCTTTTTGTTCAAGAGATATTCAGACAAAAATAAATGACATACTAAGATTTATCCTCAAACTAGAGTCTCAAGGGATTCAAGCAAAACTAGAGCTTATTAGAATTTAAATTATTTCGATATTAATATTCTTAAAAGCTTGATTAATTTAACTTATCTTAATATTCTTAACTTCGTTCATTGGGGTTTTGGGGTTTTGGGGTTTTGGGG